GAATTTGGAATTATTAAAGCATATTTATATTTTCCCAGACAATCCATCCCACATTCCTTTTTCTTGAATTCTGGGCTCAATTGTTCGTTGGTAATGTCTGTCTCAGTCATATTCATGGGCAAGTCTATACTGATGATATATGTTGCATGTTTTAATCTGAACAGTAGACATTTTTCATCCACTTGGTTTTTCTTGTGATTATGGTTAGGCCAAACTCCTTTCAATGGTTACAGATCTCTTCCAAGAGGTTCTGCAGTGTTCTGATTTTGATGCAACCAGCATAATGCTATCTGTAAAGAGGAACATTGGTAGGAACTCACCATCCATCAGGACTCCCTCTTCAACATCCTGTATTGGATTCGGTGCTGTGTCTCTTCTATGACAACATTGGAGCCCACTGGGGAGAAAACCTGTGACTGTTTTATGTCTTGCCTGATGTGTATGATTGGAGGGTTGTTGAACAAAGTTGTTTTTGCTAAGAGATTTTGAATAATTTTGATGTATAGATGGAAGGTGCTTTGTTGGAAGAGAGGCTTTAAGGAGACATTTTGCTCTACTAAAACAAATGCTTTTATTAAAAAAAACATTAAATACAGAGATGTTATATTTATCAAGTTTTTTGGTGTAATCATAAAGATGTGGTCCACTGTGGAATGTCGCTTTTGAAAGCCTGACAGTAGGGCAGCTAGGTGGTGCAGTGGATAGAGCATCAGCCCTGGAGTCAGGAGGACCTGAGTTCAAATCTGGCCTCAGACACATAACACTCACTACCTGTGGGACTCTGGGCAAGTCACTTAACCCCAATTGCCCTCACAAAAAAAAAGAAAAAGAAAAAGGAAGAAAAATGAAAGCCTGACAGTTCTGTACTAATGCCCTCATTGAGAATGTTTCCAATGTGTGCAGTTGATTCTCATGAAAATATTATATGAATAAGAAAATGAGCCTTAGGTTAGTAGTTGCTGATATTTTCCCAGTTGCCTTTTTTGGGGAGGGGGATTTTTTGAGATTTTTTCCCCATACTTTTTGTATGTTCTTCTTCTTCAAACACTTTTTGAATCTTTCAGTGCCCCTTGTCATCATATCATCTCCCACATGAAATTCCTCCATGTACTCTTGGTCCAAATCAGCTGCTTCTTCCATCTTTGTTCACTTTAATGCCATTTCCACCTCCTCTATGGGTCTACCCATCATTAAAGTTCAAATGTAGAGGCTTTACTATCCTTGATAGTGAACCAAGGTTTGTTGCAAAAAAAAAAAAAAAATTGCAGATCTTTTCAATTTTTCTTCTGTTTGTTGTCCTTCCTTTAAATTCATAAATGCCTTCAGGATGACTGCTTAATATACTCAGTTTTTCATTGAGCTTTTTTTAAAAATGATTTTTACTTCTCCACTGCTTGTTTTAATGAAATGATATTGCTCACATATTTTAGACTGGTATTGCCTTTGGCCGCCATCTTTCCATAAGCAAGTAAATCTAGTGTTTACTGCTAGTGTACTTTTCAGTCTCTTGTAGTCTCTCTCTTTTTAATAGAAATTTATTTGCATCAGTTAAAATTCTGTATGAAATTATTATAGACTGTGTCTATGTTGTTTCTTTTGTCTATATCCTATTTTTAATCACTAAAAACTGTTTGAATATGTCAGGAGTGAAATATTTTGAGATATATTGAGATATTTTGCATGCTGTGTTCCATGAATTATGTGATCACTGTATGCTGAGTGTCTGACTTTTGTGAATGTGGGAGGTTAGAGAGGCTAGACATGGGGTTCTAGAGCTGCAGATTTTGTAGCACTTAACATTCTAGTTCATCCCATTGGATTAAATTCTGAGCCTGGTGAGCACTGCTGCTTGAAACTATAGCCTTGATGTCCATGGAGAGTGGTCCAGGCATCTGCAGATTATGCTCCTGGATGATCTGAGCCAGGGATTCTTAATTTAGGGTCCTCCAGTGGTCTGTTGGAAGATTTTAGGGGGTCTGTGACCTTATATGGGAAAATCACCCCCCCCCACCCCCCTACCCCCCCTCCCCCGGCAATAACTTCTAACTGAAATTTAACATTTCCTTCCATTACTCAAGGTTAAGAAGCCTTGATGTGAGATTGCTACTAACTTGGTAGTTTAAGGAGAATGCCACCTGGTGGCCAATCCTGCCATTCCAACTCCCTTTGAGATGGTTGATACCACCAGTGACCTGCTAACTTTCTGTAGGCTGGAGGCTTAAGGAAGAGAGCTGATTTGGGCTGCTTAGCTGTAGGGGGCTACTGTTGCAGGGTGATAAGGATCACAAGGTGTTGCAAGTGGGACACACAGGTGTCTCACATTTATATTGAGGGTGTCAAGACTGATACTAATTTCCTCTGGTAGTATGCTGATTTGATCACTGGTCAAGGATTCCATATTTAGGAGACAGCAGTAGTAAAGTCTAAAAGAGAGTCTAAAAAGAGCCAGTCAACAAGCATTTATTAAGAGCCTACTATGTTGCAGGCACTGTGCTAATCTAGCCCTCTTTGCTCCCCCTCCCATTTTCTGCTACTCTGCTACCATCACCATCAGGCAGTCAGTAAACATTTATTAAACATCTACTATATACCAGGCATTGTGCTAAGTACTGGAGTACAGAGAGACATAAAAGAAAGTCCCCTGCCCACAAGGATCTCACAGTCTAATGGATCACAACAGAAGCAGAAAAGGGACCAGACAGAATTGTGTTACAGTTTTCTTTATTGGGTAGACCAGGCCTTTGATGAGCCTAAACTTTATCCTCGGCAAAAGGAAGGGACTGGATGAAATGGCTTCTAACGTTTGCTAAGGTCTCTCCCAGCTTTGACATTCTCACTTCTAAGATACCTCCCAGCTGTGATATTCCATGTTCTAAGGGCTCTCGCAGCGCTGACATTTTCAGACTCTTCGCCTAACATGGGCCCCAGCTCTTGGTCTCATCCCAAGGACAGAGAGGGAATGGAGGAGGAGGAGTGACCAGGCAGGCTACTGACCCCTTGCCCAGGGCCCAAGGCCAGAGTGTGGACAACAGAGTTTGTAATGTTTGTCCAGCTTTGGAATGGTTGAAGGTCATCTTCTGTCCACAAACTGCCTGTTCCTATCCCCTTCTCTGATCCAGAGATATACAGGGAAGAAAAAAGGCAGATGAGCATGTCACAGTATTGGGAGTGTCCTGAATCCAAGGCTTGGTTGGGTGAGGAAATTGTGGTGTAAGTATATGTGCAAGATTTCCTCTTTCTCTTTGATACTTCTCACCCAAGGGCGTGTGTGTATTTGTGTTTGTGTGTGTGTGTGTGTACATGGATAAATCACTTCTTGATGATGGGCTTCCATTTTCTTCGCAAAATTGGCTAATTGGATGAGAGGGCTTCTAAAGGATTTGAAGACCCCTCCCAGCTCTGACATTCTCTATTCTTGGGTATCTTTGAGCTCTGACATTCCCTGTTCTAAGGCCTCTTCTAGCTCTGATATTCCCAGTTCTGTGACCCTTCCCAGGTCTTTAGAGCCTTAGGGTTCCTATAATTGTATTTCACAAGATCTCAGAGTTGGAAGGCAACTCAGAAACCATAATTCCGAGGCCCTTCTCCATCCTGGATGTCCTCCTAGGGAAACTCTCCAGTTCATCAGTGTTTTTCCTAAACATGGTGCCCACAATTGGCCATGAGATCTCATTGATAATGATGCTGAATTTGGGTCCTTCCTTACTACAAGCTCAGAACATCACAGATTTCTTGGATACCTTATCATATTGTTGACTCATCTTGAGTCAGATTTCTTGGGCACCCCCACCATCCTTCCAGTCATTCAGGTTTGCAAAGTTGGAGTCATCTTTGACTCTTCAAGTAAGTCTCTTACTTATCCCCCATATCCAATCTATGACCAATTCTTGTCCATCATATCTCCACAATATCTCTTGCACCAGTTCTCTTCTTCTCCAGAGCAGCCACCATCCTAGTTCAGGCTGTCCTCACCTACTGGTGGCCTGGACTATTGCAATAACTCCCTCCTCAATCTATGTGCCTTCATTCTGGCTAAGTCTCAAAGCCATCCCCCACAAAGCTGACAAAGTGATTCTCCCAAACCTCAGCTCTGACCATGTCACTCGCCCCTCTCTCCCCATCACCTTTAGGTCCAGAAGTAAATGCCTATTTGACACTCAAAACCCTTCGCAACATGGCTTCAACCTATCTTTCTAACCCTGTCACACATTCATTATTCCCCTTTAAACACTCCTTAGTCTAGTCAAACTGCTTGTCATTCCTCCGTCCCAAGCATGTTCTTGCACAGGGTATAGGTCCCATTTTTGGGAGACCCCTTCAGGGCTCAGCTGAGCTGAAAGGCCACAAGGATCTTTTGTAATTTCTTCAGCTGCTGGTGCTTCCTCCCACTCCAAATGACCTTATGTTCATTTTGTATGTGCGTCTATGGATTTCCAAGCGTGAATGTTGTCTCCCTCTGTAAGCAATCATCCCCAGCACCTACTCAACTGTTCATTCCCATTGAAGTCCAGCCCTCTCAAACCTTTACATCTTTTTCCTGGGAAGAGTGGTCTAACCAAACTTCCTCCATCTCCTACTGGTGCCGTTGACTTTTTGAACCCAAGTCCAATTTGACATTTGCTCTGATTAATTTTCACTGTTTTCCTTTTAGCCCAGGGCTGTAGTCTGTGGGATTTTTTTGGATTCTGGTTGTCAGCATTCCCAAGTCTCCTCTTGGAACCTGCAAGCCAAATCCCAGAGCACCTGATAAGGAATCAAGGAGACCTGGGTTGGAATATGGTTTTAGTCATGTGCCTCTGGGCAACCCTCTCAACCTGTTGGACCCTCAGACTCCTCATCTACAAAACAGGGACAGTAACAGGACCTACCCCAAAAGATTATTGTGACGATCAGATGACAGGTCTCTAAGCAGCTTTGCCAACCTGAAGGTTCATGCTCTGAGTGATTAATATTGTGCCCAGCACGCCCAACCCAGTCACACACACATACACACACACATATACCAGGGGCTATAAAACCTTTATTATATTAGAGTCAGTGAGCAGAGGGTCAGGGGCTGGAGGGAGCAGATAGAAGGAAGGAGGAACATTCAGAAGCCTCTTTCTTCACGTGGGAAGGATACTGGCTTCTGGGAGAGCACAGCCCAGCGGGGGGTGAGCCCACAGGCACAGCCTCCTGCTGTTACTTGGAGAAGGTGGCATCCATTTTATCTTTCATTTTCTGGAAATTCTCCCTGAACCAGTTCCTGTGGAGAAAAGGGGCACTGTGACTTTAGTGGGGTCTAGAGAATAGACCTCTACCTCTTCCAAAATGACCTCCATAGACTCCCAATACTAGCAATCTTACTATATGCCTGTGGGTGAGGAACTTATTCCCCCTCTTTGGGACTTAGTTTCCTCATCTGTAAAATGAGTCTGGGACCACATCAAAGGTTCTTAACCTGGGGTCTGGGAACTTTTTTTTTTTAAACAAAAATATAGTGAGTTACATATAAGTGGTTCCCTTTGTAAACTACGTCCTTTGTTTTATGCATTTAAAAGCATTAATCTGAGAAAGCATCCGAAGGCTTCACCAGACTGCCTGAGGGTTCCATGGCAAAGGTTAAGAACCTCTGGGATAGAGACCTGGAAGGTCCCTCCCAGCTTTGACACCCTCAAGCTCCAGACTCTTCAAGTTCTAACTTAATCTCCTAGTCCAAATATCCACCTGACCCCATCCCCCCCTTCCCCCACTGGTTGCCCCCAGGCTTCCAAACCAAGCTCAGCCAGAAACACCCTCCCCTTCGCTTCGGTGCTTTCTTGTCTTTCAAGGCCCCCTCCTTCCTTTGGGCCTCACTTGAACCCGACGCTGCCTCTCTTCTCTCCCCTCTTAGAAGATGGGGCCCAGGAAGGCAGACCCACTTCTCCACACTGGATACTGGGGGGAGGAGGAGGAAGAGAAGGAGGAGGGAGAGGTGGAAGAAGGGGAGGAGGGGGGAGAGGTGGAGGAGGGAGGGAGAGGAGGAGGGAGAGGAGGAAGGGGGAGGAGGGGGAAGAGAAGGGGGGAGAAGGAGGGGGAGAGGAGGAAGGGGGAGGAGGGGAAGGAGGAGGGGGGAGAGGTGGGGAAGGAGGGGGGAGAGGTGGAGGAGGGAGGGAGAGGTAGAAGAGGGGGAGGAGGAAGAGGAAGGGGGGAGGAAGGGGGAGGAGGGGAAGGAGGAGGGGAAGGAGGAGGGGGGAGGAGGGGAAGGAGGAGGGGGGAGAGGAAGAAGGGGAAGGAGGGGGAGGAGGAAGGGGGAGAAAGGGGAAGGAGGGGGGGAGAAGTGGAGGAGGGAGGGAGAGGTAGAGGGGGAGGAGGAAGAGGAGGAGGGGGGAGAGGAGGAAGGGGGAGGAGGGGGGAGGAGGGAGGGAGAGGTAGAAGAGGGGGAGGAGGAAGAGGAGGAGGGCCACACCTAGTTTTAGTGGAGAATTCACTGTTCTGGATCTTGGTGATGGCCTCCTTGGCCTTGTGAGCCACAGTATCCGCCAGCTCCTTCACCTTATGCTGGAACTGTTCAAAGCCCTCTGCCATGCTCGAGGAGGTAGCCTGAGCTGGGCTGGAGCTGTCTGGGAAGGAAAGGACCCAGAGTGCCCTTGAAGACTTAGAACTGCTTAGAATGCCCAGAGTAAAAGGGGGGCCTTGGAGCCAGGAATGGGGTGGGGATTGTGCTCTCAGAATCTAGGCATGGGGAGGGGGGAATGTAGAACCCAGGAGGTTGAGTCCTAGAAATGGGGTAGGAGGAGGAAGGGTGGTGAATCAGAACTTAGTGGGTGATGGTCAGAACCATGGGATGGGGAGGGAAGCTCAAACCCAGGACGATGTAGAACCTAAATATTGAGGGTAAGAATTGGGGGGAGGATCAGAACCCGGCTGAGGAGAACACCATTAGAACTCGGGGCTTTTGGTCATAGAATGCTGGTGGGCAAGGGATAGAAGGAACACAGAACCCAGGAAGGGTGTGGAGATTGGAACCAAGCCGTCACCCTTCCCGCTGAATACCTGCCAAAAAGTACAGAAGTACAGTCAGCACAGTGAAGGACAGAAACGGCTTCATGATGGCCTGGAAGGGGCTCTGCCCACAGGTGTGTAGTGGGAGACAGGTGAGGAGGAGAGCTCCCCAGTCCTAGGAACCAGGAATTACCCTCACCGTCACTGTCCTGTTGGACCCCTCACATCCCAGCCACCTCCCCAGGGAGCCCCCGAATCCCCCAGGGCTCTTCCTTTGCCCCTGTGATCTCTTTTCCTTCTTTATACCTGCACTGCCCCCAGGAGCCTCTCAGCCTCCCTTCCACTCCCAGCCACCCTGATCTGTCTATGAGGTCTAGAACCCTTCCCTTTGGGTTCCCATCTCTGACATAAATAAGAGTTGGCCCTACATAGAAAGCCTAAGATGTTTTCAGCCCCCCACCCCATATAAGCAGGGTCCCTCTGCCTATAGATCTTTGGTGGTCCCCTTCTCCCCAGCGACTCATCCTTCCTTCTCCTCCTCTCCCTGTCCCCCCTCAGGATCCTTCCCCTCCCACACAGTCTACTTTCTCAGTGACCACCCCCCCTTCTTCTAATCTTCCTTTCCTGGGATAGCTGCCCCCCACGTGGCTTCTCCAGGGGCCCCTGTTTCCCCAGAGACCCTCCTTCCTCCTCCAATTCCTCCGCACCTTGGTCAACACTTACAGAACAGAACTGGGACCTGGCAGGCTGAGTTGGGTGTGGGTGGGAGCGTCCAGGGACCTTTAGTTATAAGAGAGCTGGGGGAGGGGCCGGGAGAGTTTGAAGCCTCACCTTTCTCTCCCCCTCCCTGCCCCTGTTTCACTCCCCTCCTCCCTCCTCCCTCTCAGCCTCCACCTCCCAGTTAGCTCCTGGATTTTCCTCCCTCCCCTGAGGCAGGAGGTGGGACCTATCTAAGTCCATCTGGGAGCCCCAAAGACCCAGCTCCAGGACCCCTCCTTCCCTCCTCTGTCCCACACCGTCGGCTTTCCTAACCCAATACCCAGCCCCCCTCTACCTCTCTGGCCCCTCAGCGCTATAGTGCACTAGGACTTTTCACAGCCCTCCCACATCTCTCCCCACCCCACACCCATAAAAATGCCCAGGTTAGACCTCGAGTGGCCCACGCTGTGCCTGGCACTTGAGAGCACCGTGCTTGGAGTCAGGAAGACCTGAATTCAAATCAGCCTCAGACACTTACTACCTGTGCGACCCTGGGCAAGTCACTTTACCTTGTCTGCCTCAGTTTCCTCATCTGTAAAATGAGCTGGAGAAGAAAATGGCAAGTATTTGACTCCAGTATCTTTGCCAAGAAACCCCCCCAATGGGCTCATGGAGAGTTGGACATGACTCAGTCAACTGAACAACAACTAGATGTCTAGAGAAAAGGACACCTGGGGAGAGGGCCAGCCTTGGAATCCCAGGGGAAAGACTTGAGAAATAAGAGAGGGGACATTAGACTCTTCTAGCTGTGCGCTTCTTCCTTTCCATCTTTTCCCTGGGTCACCCCTCATCTCAACAGAGGTCACAGTCCAAATACCCTCTCCTTTCTCTTTGAGATGCTTCTGGACTCCGAACCTCCCCCACTGAGATTTCATCCTCCCCCTTTCCTCTCTCAGCCACTTCCTCCCTCCTGGCCCCCCACTCTCAGTGTCGTCCCTCCTTTCCTGAACAGTTCACCTTGAAGGGGGAATGGCACTTCACAGGTGACTGGAGTTGCATAACGCACCCCCTGGGAGCGGTCCTCGCGCCCCTCCTGCCCTCCCCTTCCTGAAACTCCTCTCCCCCCAGCTCTAGCGACCAAGGCCCTGGTCCCTCCACCTCCCTCTTCATCTCCACCCCGCCTCCACCCCTGAAAGTCCTCATTCTTTCCCCAAAGTATTCTCTTTTCACCATCACCCTCCCCCCATCTCTTCAGAGGAAAGGGGTGACCTTAAATGGGAAGGGGGGGCTTATAACTCTGGAGGAGATGAGGACTGGGGACTTAGTCCCGTTCTGACACCCCCCCCCCCCCCGCTTCTGCCCTCCCTCTCTCGGGATCCCAGCTCCCGTCCCTCAGGGCCCTTTCTTGCTTCTCCTCGCCCAAAGTTCTCCCGTGGCCACAGGCGTGTGCAGACCACTGCCTCCCTTTCCCTCTTGGGTTCTGGGATGCTCACCCCTCTTCCCCAGCTCACTCGCAAGTTCTAATCCCTCCATCCCGGCCCTTCCTCCTCTACCGCGGCTATTCTTCCCCCATCCCTCTGGCTCCCTGTCCCCCCACCCCGTCCCCGCCCCCGAGCCCCGCTCCCCGAGCTCCGTGGCCCTTTCGGGAGCCAAGGCGGACGGGGTTACTCGCGGGCATCTCCGGCTGCGGGCGCCCCCCGCGCTGACCGCCACTGACCCCTGGCGGCCCACGGAGGGGGCGGCCGCGAGCCGAGGCTCCGGGTTGGCTGAGCCCTCCTCCCCCTCCTCTCCTCCTCCCCTCCTCCCCTCCTCCCCTCCTCCCCTCCTCTGGACCACGGAGGGGAGGGGGTGGAAAGCTCCCAAGAGCTCACCCTGAACGTTGTAGGGCTGCCCCGGGCTTCTGGACAGACTTGGCATCATGCTGTAACGCCCCCCCCCCCCCCCCCCCCCCCCCCCCCCCCCCCCCATCCTTCCCAGCTTTTGGGGGCCCAGTCTGCTCAGAGCCCTTCTTCCGGGCCAAAGGGGTCCAGCAAGGGTCCCACCTAGTCGCTTATCTCCCATTCCCAGGGCTAGCCTCAGTTCCCCTTTCTTGCCCAGATGAGGCCACAAAAATAAAGGCCGAAAGGCTTCTCACCTTTCTCCCCAGTTCCTTCCTCCTCAAATCCTCCCCCCACCCCCCATTTCAGGGCTGTCTACCTCCTCAGCTTCCCGAAAGTCCCTTCCGAGCTCCGACGCCGGGCATTAACATACAGCCAAGGAGTGTGACCATCTTTCCCTGGAGTGGGCTGGGGCGGCGGAGGAGTCCCTGTTTTTGTGTCTAACAAATAGCCCCTCAGCTCTGTCAAACCTTCCGGGCACTTGGCAACCTCAAAGAGATGAGTGGGGCTTTAGGAATCAACGAGATCTGAATTCCAGCCCCAGGCTGACCTTGGCCAAACCTCTGCCCCTCTCGGGGCCTCTTTCTCTGTAAAATGAGGGGGGTGGGACTGCCTGCTCTTCAGAGGAATTGGGACCCTCTGGAACGGGGTGAAGGGACCTAGATTCCAATCCGTGTGTGATATGGGGCCAAATGACTTAAGCCTTAGTTTCCTCATGTGAAAAATGAGGGGGTTGGACTAGATAAGCCTTAAGGTCCTTTTTAGCCCTTCTAAACCCCTGACTTCCTTCCCGGTCTGATGGTCTATAGTTTAAGATACTCCAGGATTCCCACACAAGTTTTCTTGGGCTCCCTAAAATGCCAGGGTTGAGAGTCTCCAGGGAAAGGGAAACCCCAAACTCTCATGCTTTCACCCCACCAGTGCCTGCTGCCCAGGGGAAGGGGTGTAGGATTTGGAAGGCGAGGGCTGGAGGCTAGGAGGAGGTGGGGGGCTTGTGTCCCTGGAATTTCCAAAGAGGTTGGGGCCGGGAGAAAAAGTTGGGTAAGCCACACGGAGAGAGGCCTTTCCCCTAGCTTCCCCTCTCACCTTGCTCTTCTCCCAGGATTCCCACATCTTTGTCTCTGGCGACCTCTCCCTTGCTTTCAAATCTGGGGCTCCAGGGACCCCAGGGAGACTTCTGCCTTGCTCTACCCCCCACCCCCACTTAGCTCAAGCAGGAGCCCTCAGACTAGACTTGCTGGGGAAATGAGAGACCCAGAGGGGTGAGAAAGTTGTAGTCGAGACCCAGAGAAGGGGGGCCTAGGAGAGGGCAGCAGACAGGGGAGGGGGAAGGGAGATCTGGAAGGAAGAAGAGAGAGAAGCAGAGAGGAGAGGGGGTGGGGGCTGTGTGTCTGTGGGGCTGGTGTGACAGCCAAAGGAGACAAGAGACCCAGAGAGAGAAGTGAGAGACCTAAGCAGAGAAAACAGGGTAGAGGAATGGGATTATCTTGAGTCACTTCATTGAAAACTAGCCAGGGCAGAGATCCAGCCCGTCCTCACCTCCCCTGTCACCCCTTCCGGAGGGAGCGATAAAGCCAGACTCACACGGAATCAGTTGCTGGTGCACAAGCAAGCTTTCACTTTATTGTTGGCCTGAGCTTAGACTACATGTAGGCCCCCACCCACCCATCTCCCGAGGGTAGCAGAGGGACTGAGGACCAGAGCCGTGGGGTGCACCGGCCTGCCCTGCAGAGGTGAGGGGGTCGGAAGGTGCCTTGGTGTGAGTGAGGGGGGGATTGGAGCATCCTCCCCTGCTGGAGGTTGGGGGGCGGGGCAGGGGAGGGTCCGCTGGTGGATGATGACAGGAGGACTCCCAGGCGGGAGACAGGGAGAACTACGGGGAACCCATGGAGAGCTCCAGGGAGCTTTCAGTTGTCACTGAAGGGAGTATCGGGTGTCTCTCCCAGCTTCCCATTGGGACTGACGCCTTCCTGAATCTTGTCCACCAGTGACGTCCACTGGCGCTGCAGGTCAGTGGTCAGGGGCTGGAACCAGGCCTTCAGGCGGTCGTGAAAGCCCTGCAGTTGAGCCTGCAGCTGGGCTGACTGCTCGTCCACTTTGGTCTTGACCTCCTCCATTCGGCTGCGCACCTGCTCCAGGTGGCTCTGCAGACGCTCCCCTGCCAGGGTGCCCAGGTTGGCCATCCTCTTCTTGTTCTGCTCTTGGACTCGTTCCAGCAGGGGGGCCAAATGCTTCAGCGGGCCGAGCCCTCTCTCCACACCCTCTGTGGCACCAGCCTGGTACGTGGCCATGCGGGTCTGGAGCTCTTCGTAGTCACGCCCAATGCGCTTCTTCATCTTCCTCAGGTAGGCTGATATCCGGTTTCTGACCTCATCTACGTTATGGCTGACCACCGCGTGGAACTCTCGGTGGTACTGGGCAAGGCGGGACCCCACATCCTCCATGTCAGCCCCGAGGCGGGCCTGGGCTGCTGTGAGCTCCTTGGCCAGCTGTTTCCGGGTCTCCTCAGTCATGGGGGTCAGCTCCTGGTCCAACTCAGCCTTGTAAGCATTCAGCTCTGTCAGAGTGTCTGTCATGAGACCCCTGTAGGGAGCAGATGTAAAGCTGGAGTGGAGCCCGGAGGTGATCCTATCTCCAGATGAAGGAAGTGAGGCCCCTCAGAGAGGTGAGGGCCCTCACCCACAGTCACATAGCTAAGGGGCAGAGGCAGGAATCCAGCCCAGGGCTCCGATTCCAAATCCAGCTCTCATCCACTGCATTAAACTGGGAAGGAGGCAGACGTACGAGGTGATGGTGGGCACCCAGAAAGGTGGGGATAGAGAGGAGATAGAAACAGGGAACCAAGGGCAGAAACAGAAGGAGAATGGGACAGGGAGACAGATGAACCACTGTTAGAGGCAAAGATACAGCTGGTGGGCAGGAGCCAGTGAAGCCCACTTGAGTCTTGGACAAGTGGAGATGAGGGACTGGACAGAGAATGCACATCCCTGGGCTCCCCATGGGAGGGCTAAATGGAATTCTGGAGTAGGGGTGAAGACCCAGCGGCCTCTATCCCTGGGGGATGCTGACAGAAGAATCTAGACACTCAGATAAGGTTTCCTTTTGTTTGGGGGAGGGGCATGGCACCTGGTTCTGAGGGGGAGGAAGAACGGCTGGGGATGGACCGCTAGGTCTGAGACTAACACGGCAGGGTTGGGGGAGACCTGAGTGGCACGGTGGGGTCATGGTGGGGATGGTCCTCACCTCAGGTCCTTGACTATTTGGAGACTCTGCACCTCACTCTGCAGGTCCTCGACCCGAGTTTGCAGCTGGTCCAGGTAGCCCCGGAAGCGGCCCATGGCTATCTCCCAGGCCTGAGCTGGCTCCAAGTTGCAGGGCTTCGGTTCTGTAAATCGCTCCTCCGAAGAAGTCTTGGCATCTTCCCCCTGGCAGCCTGAGGGGCAGAGGCAGATAGATGGACATGAGTGTCCAAGGAACCAGCTCACTGGGGCTGAGTGGGAGAGGAGGGTGGGGAGGGCTTGGCACATCCGGGGGAGAAGGGACAGGCAGATCCTGGAAACGGGAGAGGACAGACAGTGGGAATGAGAACAGAGTGAAAGATTAAGGGGGATAGATTAGAGGGGCCGCCGGGGCAGATATTGAGGGGGAGAAAGAAGACTGATGCCAGACAGAGGAGAGCAGGAACGCAGAGGTCCAGGGAGAGGGCATACCAGTCAAGAGGGCCGCCAACGCCCACAAGACCCACAGGAGCTTCATCTTCACAGCACAGCTGGTGACTGGTCTTACTGGGGCAGAGAGAAAAGTCTGGCTGAAGTCAGTGATCACCTCTCTTTTCTATCCTCCCCTACTAATCCCATCAGTCAACTCGCACCAACAGATAAGGGGAAGCAGCTGCCCCCTAAATTCTGTACTCCTAACCCCGCTCTGATTATCTGTTAGGGAGCCAAGGTTCCATACCTGGGGCATTCTAAATCTTAATCTCTCCCCATTGTTGTGCTTTTCCTCAAATCTGGATTCCAAAATTCAAGCCCTCCTACTTCCTGAATTCCATTTCTTCCATTCCAAATCCTAATCTCCATTGTCTCCAGAAGACCCAAGGGATGCCGCTAGATAAACATGACCCCACCTCCTAATCAGAGAGGCAAAGGAAATTGCCCAATGTCACCCAACCTTGAAAAGAATCCTAGACCTGGAAAGAGCAGAGAACCACCTAGCTCATCTAAACCCCTTGTTTGCTGCCCAGTGCCTTGCCAAAGATGTCCCCTGCAGGAGTAGGCACCCTCGGAGGCAGGCTTTGAACCCTGAGGCTCTGACTCTGGCCCGCTGGTCCGCTGTTAGATGTGGGAAGGCTGCTGATTTCCCTTCCCTAGATCCTGGGAGTTCTGAAATGCTGCCACCCGTCACACCCATTTTTCACTCCCAGGACCCACGCATTCCTGTCACCCAGACTTGAGACATCTGTCCTTTGTTCCCCAATCCTGTAGGCTCTCCTATGTCTCTGCGTCTCTTGTTCAGCCAGAGTCCCGTCCAGAAGTCTGTCTCCCCCAGAAGGAATATTACAGGGGCTGCTGCACTTAAGATCTGGGACTGGCTAGGTTAAGGAAGCTGTCATCATTCTACAGATGACTTAAGTGACTCGCCCCAAGTCAAATTGGTATTAAGCAGCAGAGGTGAGATTTGAACCCAGGACCTCACTCCAAATTCATCTTTTCCCACTATACTCTGTACATGGACATACGATGTCAGCGCTGGAACAGTCTTTATCCATAGCCCACAGATGGCAACACTGAGGCTGCCGGAAGGTGAGGAGCCAATTAGCGGCTGGTTTGAGGTTAGTCCAAGGCTCCCCAAGCCTGTATTTCTGTCCAGCCATCCTCATAGCCTCTGTCCCCTGGGGTTTCTTTACCTTGGCCCCAGCTGCTCAGTTGGGCCTTCCTCTGTTGGTCAGAGAGATCCTTCCCTGGGTTGAGTAGGACCCGGGCTCGGGGCCCTCTTCCAGTTATAGGGCTTTACCCCCTCCCCCTCCTCCAGGGCCAGGGCGGACCTGTCACGAGGACAGCACGGCCCTCCTCCATGCCACCCCTCCAAGCTTTGGGGGCGGTACATGAGCGCCGCTGGCCCCCTTCAGCTTCCAGCCCTTCCTGGGGATGGGAAGCTGACCTCTCACCGCCTAACCTGACCCGATCCCTCCCCTGCCAGTTCCAAGGACTGGACAGAGAATGCCCATCCCTGGGCTCCCCATGGGAGGGCTAAATGGAATTCTGTAGTAGGCGTGAAGACCCAGCGGCCTCTATCCCTGGGGGATGCTGACAGAGGAATCTAGACACTCAGATAAGGATTCCTTTTGTTTGGGGGAGGGGCATGGCACCTGGTTCTGAGGGGGAGGAAGAATGGCCTTCTGGAGCCCAGTGGGGTACACAAACTGACGACCCGGACAAGATCCTCAGGGCCAGCTGTGGTGTTTGTTCTCGGCCCAGAAAAAGGGGCTGCAGGAAGGGTGGGGCCCAGGTCTTTGAAAGGCTGTTTTGTGTGGGGGCAGATCCCTGCCTGTGAGGGGTCACTGACACACCCGGGGAACACTGGCTTCAGGCCCAGAGGTCCAACTCTGTTTTCGGAGAAGGGGTGGGGTCAGGGCGACGACACAGATGCCTGTTTCTGTGGGGGGTGCCATTCCATGAATCCTAGAACAGAACTTGGGAGCCCCAGACTAGCAGTCAGGGGAACCGACGCCCTCAATGTAAAGGGATGGAACCAAGGGTCCCAAAGCCTGAGCATTTCAAGATCAAGGGGGGCCCGGTCGCACTGTTGGACATTTAGCTTTTTTGGGGGTGGCCATCCTTTTCTGCCCTGGGGCTAAGGTCACCTACTAAATGACCTTTCCCCTAGCCCACAGGATGCTGCCTCATTCCTCCCCACCACCAGACACAGCCTCAGACAGAGGAACAGGAAACTGCTGTCTGCTCCCACTTCCTGAGGCTCACAAGGGGCTGGAGGGCTATGACCTAGAATGACCCGAGGTCAGGCCCTGGAGAGGAGAGCCCACGTGTGTGTGTACACAAGACCCCGGTGGTCCGAGGACTTGCTGGCAGGGGAGCTGGTCTACTCTGGCTCTTTGAGGGTCTCGAACCAACCCTCCACCCAGACATTCAGGCTCCCGTCTCTTCTCAAACAACCAAGGCCCACAATCCTGCCTCCCTGTACCGACACCAGCTTTTTGAGGGCCACCCTCCAAGAACCCAGCTATCCCCCTTGGCCAGGAAAAAGTCCATCCCTCTGCATCATGGCATCACGGTGCAAGAGGTCACAGACTGAAGTGAGGACCTTCTCCCACTGGTCGAATTGGGGTGGGAGGCAGGGAGACCAAACATGAAGAATGCCCAGGGCAGAACAGAGGTGAGGGGAGGCAGGCATTTAAAGCCGGAAGGGATCTCGATGGCCGTTACAGGCAGAAGTGGAAGGGCCGGGATTTGAACACGGGTCCTCAGGCTCCATCTAGAGCCAGCAGCTTTATTTCTCCCGGCCATGCGGAGACCAGGGGAAGAGCTGACGGGGCACACAGAAAGCCTTGGGTACAAGGGAGGGGGTGGGTAGACAGCAAGGCCATCTATGACGTTGTCTGAAGAAGGGAAGAGACAAGACAGCCAGGAGAGCAGAGACCCCCGTGTGTACAGAGAGCACCTCCTCCCCGTTACTCACTGTTTTAGCCATGTATTTTTGTGGGTTTTTTTCTGTAAAATGTTCTGTTTTTTCCATAACTTATAAACATGATTTACACCGAGGGGGGCGGCAGACAGGTCGGTGGGGAGAAGGGAGGGAGAGGCAAGGGGAATGGACGGAACCAGGGGATGAGGATGATGGGCCCCCTCCTTGGCCACCAGGGAGGCAGGGCAGGAATGCCCAGCCCACGCTGCCCTCTCAGCAGCCCAGCTCCACCATGGGGAAGGAGAGAGGCCCCACCCTGAGGACCCTCCCCCATAGTCCTTCCCACCTAGGTCTCCTAGAGCCTAGAGCCCCTTCCAGGAATGGGGAAAGGGGGCAGGGGGATCGGTCTTCTAGTATTCTGAAGTCGCTCTCCGAAAACCCGAGTCTCCCTGGCCAGGCCCAAGGTCTCCCCGGATTCTGGGGTCTCCCCCTCTCCTAGCCTCTGGGAGCCTCAGGTACCCTTCCTCCTGCCCTGCCCGGGGGCGGAGGGACGGGCGGGATGGGCGGTGTGGTGGGCTCAGCCGATAGTGAGGCCAAAGCCACACTGGAACTTGTTCTTTCGATGATTGAGGAAGGCACCCAGGGCCAGTGTCAGGGGCAGGGGGGGCAGCTTCTTCTCCAGGGTTGCCCCCACGATCCAGTTACTGTCCATGGAGCCTGGGGGAAGATGAAGGGGAGAGACTGGGCACGTGAGGGGACAGAGCAGGCAGGAGGTGCCAGAGGGCCCCTGGAGAAGCCTCACCACCCCTATTTTTTATGCAGAGACTCCAGGTGAGGAACTCCGGCTCTAGGAGAGTCAGGGGTGGGGAGGGTCCTGAGGGGGCTGCAGAAGCAGCTACCTTTGAAGAGGAGGTTGGCCTTGGGGAGGTCCAGCTGGTAGCCAAAGGAGACGCTGGTGTCCTGCATTCGGGTACTGGCTTCAAACTCCACCCCGACCTGAAGCTGGAGAAAGCCACGAGGGTCAGTCTGGGAGCCCCTACTCCGCCCCTACCCCGGCCCTACCACGCCCTTACCTGGTCACTGGCTTTGTGGTAGTATGTAGCATGGGCCCCCGCCTGGCCCACGGTCAAGGTCGCCAGCCAGTTAGGTGCTGGGGGAGGAGACAAGAATCATCAAGTACTTCAAGGCTCTGCGGCTGCCCTGCCCTCGAACACAAAGCCCTGCCTCATACCTGTGTACTTCCCTGCCAGAGACATGACGGTGCCTTCCTCTCCCGGCCTTCGGTGATAAACCAGCTCCCCGCCCAAGGCCAGGCATGGAGTGATGCTCTGAAGGTAGTGAGCCACTAGGATCCCTGGGGACAGGTAGGGCGATGAGTCACCTCATGGCGCCGTCCTCCCTCCCTCCCTCCCTTCCTGAAACAGGACCCAGAGATAGCAGCGTCTCTCTTCGGGTCCTCGCCCTTCCCACAACGACACAGACAGACCTGGGAGAGAGACACTGCCTGTCCCCACCTCCCTCAGGGAGCTTCACTGTGAGAAACAAAGCAGAGATGCAGAGACAGGGGGAGACCCTCTCAGAGAGACCCAGCACCAGGGAGGATGGAGCCGGAAGAACACAAGCCAAAAGAAGGGCACGGCAGCCCCGTCCTCCTGAGACGGGGCAGAAACAGACACTGGAGAAGGAAGGGGCCACGAGACAGAGACGCCCCGGGGTCCCCACCTGAGCCCACCAGCACGTCGGGGTTCCCCAGGGTCACAGCGGCTGTGAAGTCAGAGCCCCGGTACTCTCCGTCCACCTGCCAGTTCACGAACTTTGACTGCTGGGTCTGGGGAGGGGAGGGAGACAGGAGGCCTCATTGCTCGGCTCGGGAGCCACGCCACGCCTGCGAGGTGGCCTCCCCCACACTCACCTGCACCGCCATCTTGGATCGCAGGCCCGGCCCCACCTGGTGGATCACCTGGGCGTTGAGGCTCCCGCAGTTGTCCATGTCTCCCACCAGCACCGGGAAGGCCTGTGGGCAGGAGAGGTGTGAGGGGGCGGGGGACCAGAGCCAGGAATCAGGCGGGCTCAGAGGCCGGGGATTGCGTGGCCTGCTCACCTCTGTGGGACTCAGCTGCTTGGTCCCTACGTAGGTGACCCCAAAGTGGTAGTTGGAGTCTCCAATTGTGCTGAGGGCCACGGTGTGATTGACCTGGGGTGGGGGAAGACAGGGCCTGAGCTGCTTGTTGGGCCGGCCCCCTCCTCCCCTCCCCGTTGGGGGGGCACCGGCCCCCCAGCCCCCGGGGCCTCACCTGGAAGTGGTTACTGAGGCCCTTGTTCACCGTGAGCTTAACGCCCTCCATCTGCACCGGGAACAGTTCTGCATGGAGAAGGCATGAGTGTCACCTCCCCCTACAGGCGGGGAAACCGAGGCTCTCCAGCCCCAGCGGGGTCAGTGCTGGGGATGGGCACATCCCAACCCTGTCAGGTTCAAGTTCGTGGCTCAGCCCCCTCCCCCCAACATGAGCTGCCTGCTCCCCGCTTTGAAGCTCTCTCCAAGTCTCCCCGTGTGGGGCAAATCCAGCCTGACACCCTCCCTATCAGGGGGACTCTGGGCAAGTCTCCGTCTGCCTCAGTTTCCTCATCTGCCAAGTAGGGATCCCACCAGCCCCTCCCCCTCTCCCAGGAGGAGCGCTCTCACAACAGTTTCCAAGATGGGAGGAGCCCATTATACAGATGAGGAAACTGAGGCCCACACAGTGTGTGACTTCTCCAAGGTCACGGAGACTGATGCGGCTGGGCCAGGATTCGAACCCTGGTCCGGACTACAAGGGGAGGGGCTGTGAAGGGGGACGAAGCCCCGATGTGTGACCCCAGGGTGGGCAATGAGGAGCCCCCTGCCTGGCCCTACGGCTCTGGGTCAGCCTGGGCCCCGGGGCTCCAGGTCAGCCTCCAAGGTCCAGTCCCAGTGCTTAGGGGAGGCTGCCCTGAGGAGGCCGCTAGGGGGCGCCCCAAGGCAAAGTGCACCGGGCCTGAAGTCCGCAGGAGCCGAGTTCGAATCCAGCCTCCCATGCTTCCCAGCTATTTGGGGGGCCTCTGGAAGTGGCCCGCCCCGCTGCCTGCCTCAGTTTCCCCAAGTGGCCGTCCCCTGGGGCCCTGAGTTAGCTCCCGTGTGCACCGAGCCGGGCACACAGCGGGCGCTTTCCCGGGCCCCGCTTCTCCCCCGCCCCCTCCCGCCCGGCTCCCCAGGCCCCCATCCCCGGAGAGACGCCCCCTAGCGGCCGCGCTCACCCTTGCACTTGCGGTGGCACTCCTCGAACGTGCCCGGGTTAGGCAGGCAGCAGCAGGCCTCATCCTCCGGCGCCGCGGGCCCGCTCGCGGGGCCGCCCGGGACTCCTCCGCGGGCGCCAGGCCCCGCGCTCAGGCCGCCCATGGGGGGCAGCGTGAAGCCCGGCGGCGGCGGCGGGAGCGGCGGCGGCGCGGCCACGAGGCCCGGCCCGGACGGGGGGGGCGGCCCCGCGGGCGGCAAGCTAGCGGCCAACACGTTGCCCATGATCACCTGCAGGAAACCGGGGCGAGAGGTCAGGGGTCACCGCGGCCGCCCACGTGACCACCCCTCCCCCCGCGCCTCGGCCCCGCCGCAGGCCACGTGACCCAAACCCGGGGCGCTGCTCACTCCCGGCGACTCCGGCTCCTCCCGGCTTCCGCTCCGCACCCGAACCCCCGTGCGGGAGGCGGTGCCCAAGGCGCAGGCGCAGCCCCGGACTCCTCAGGAAACGGGGCCCATCATTGGCCCGAGGGATCGCTTTCTCATTGGTTGGACTCTTCCGCCCCACCCCCCCATTCCGTATTATTGGTAGGCAGCTGACAGATCCCGCCCTACTACTACTCCCATTGGTTCGATCAAGGAACGCCTCCTCTGATTGGTCCAAGGTTTCTCCGTCCCTAGTGCCCGGTATGGCATTTAGTCCCACCAGCGCTATCTTCTTGCGTTTTCATTGGTCATTACCCGTGAAGAGCCCACCTTCGCGCAGCACCCATTGACCTTCCCAGGGAGCGTCCCTTTTCATTGGTTTATGATTCCACCTCTTTTTTGCCCTCCCAAACATCATGAGGTTAGATAGTCGCTGCCTTCATTCCCGACCTCCTTATAGGCCTGTGGTTTCACAAGTCCCACCCTATCTTCTTTCCCATTGGCAGGCCCTCAGAGCGTCTCTCTACATTGGCTATGACTCTCCCTGCCTCCTCCCCCGCGCCGGACGCTTGCTCCCCCTCCCTTCTCCCTTTCGCAGCTATCGGATTGGTCCAAGGGTGAGATAAGGTCTCCGGTGATTGGCGAGCGCTGGCCTAGGTAGGCTGTGCTGCGCCGGTAGGCGCCAAGGTCAGAGAGGGATTCCCAGAAGGCACCGCAGGTCCCGACTCGCCGAGGATCCTTACTCCCTCCCCCCTTCCCTATGACCCAGAATGCTCCAGTGGGGCCTCTGTGACCCTGACCTGCTCCTTAGGGCGCCATTACTTTCCCACCATGCCCCGGGGCTGCCCTTCCCCATTACCTCTTACCCACCACCCCTGCACCTGGGGACAGCCCCAGGGCATGACGGGAAGGGGACTACTACCCTAGATCGCCGCTAATTAAGTCCAGTTTAATTCAACAAGCATGCATACTAAGCTGCCTGCTGTGTGCCAGGCACTGTTCGGGTCAGGGAGGTAGAGGCAGAAACAGGCCCCGCCCTCTCGGAACTTCCATTCCAGAGGGCCCAGCTGGACGCAGATAAGTAAATACCGGAGGGCCACCTGCAGGAGGTGGAACCAGAGCTGGGCAGGAAGGAAGCTGGCGCGGGAGAGGGGAGAGCAAAGTTCTTTTGGAAGCGTGGGGGTGGGGAACCTGCTGGGGCAAAGGCTGGACCGTGGAGAGTCATGGGCAAGCGAGGTGGGCCGCCCTCCCCCCTGCCCACCAGGGCCAAGCACATCACACGTGCAAGTAGACGTAAAAAGTTGTGTTTATTAGGAAACATTTGTGTATAAAACTCAGTTCCCCTCCCCCACACATCCCCCGGGGGGGGGGGCAGGACCAGCTCAGCCAGCCCATCGCACCCCCCACATACACACATCCAGGGATCCCCAAGCACCGGCCATGCCCTCCCTGGGCCCCCGGGGGAGGGCTGGAGGCAGGCACCCCGGCCTCTCCTGCCTGCAGGAAGACTGGACAGTGTGTGCCGAGGAATCGTGCTGCCCAGGGCTCAAGTCTGGGCTCAGGTGGGAGAGGTTGGCAGGGCAGTGGGGACGGAGGGCGGCTGGGAGCACGAGAGGTCCTCAGTGGGGCGGGGGAGCGTTTGGCTCAGAGCTCCCCCACCGAGGCCACAGCCACAGTCCGGGGGCTCCTGGGCGGGTGGTCAAGGCCACAAGGTGGAGGTCAGGCATTAAGTCACAGTCGTGGCAGAGGCCGTGGTTAAGGACAGGAGCCGGGTCTCCATCGCAGAGGTCGAGGGGATGCCAGGGTCCAGCGGCTGGAGGCGGGAGGCTCACACATACATTGCCCGAGACATGACGAAGCCCTTGCCTTGATAGGCCTCGCCCGTGGCATAAGCCAGAGCATCGTAGATGGGATTGATCTTGTCCAGGTAGTCTTCATTATCCTCCAGAGGGAACCGCTCTTCTCCTGCAGCATCACCCGGCTCCTCCAGGTGCAAGGGAAGAGCGGCTGCCCGCTCCTCCAGGGTGGGCAGCTCGTGGTACCGGGGCATGTCCTGGGCAGGGGACAGGGGCATGGGAGATCTTCCTCCCTCCCCTGGCCCCGCCCCCCCCCAAAACCACCAGAGGGCCCTCAGGGATCATGGTCTCCAGACCCACCCCATCCTTGTACAGATGGGGGATTTTCCAGATGTCTCATCCCAGCATTAGGGGACTCCTCCGAATTACCTGTTCAGGAGCTGAGATGCTGGGCTCAAAGTATGGGGTCTTCAGAGGGATGTGTTCCGAGCTACCTAGGGTGAAGAGCTGGGAGGGCTGGGGGCAGAGAAAAGAGGTGGGGACAGGTCAGGGCAGATCCAGGGGATGGAAGCAGAATGGGGAAAGGGGAGGGACCAGGATGCACAGGGGGCTTCACGGTGGTCAGGGCTGTGTGGGGGAATGGAAGGATGGAGGGGAAAGGGGTGGAGAGGAACGTCTTACCATTTCTGGCTCCTCCAGTTTCATCTTAGGAGGTGGAGGCTTGTAAGCAGGAGGGCCTTCGAGTCTGTGGGGAAGGAGTAGAAAAGGAAACTGGTATTTCATTCCCTGGGGCTTCTGCCAGTGGCCCAACAATTCGGTTAGTTCAGCTCAGTTCAACTTGTATCTCTTAAGCCCCTAGGATGTCCCTGCCTTCAAAGAGCTTACATTCTCTTGGGGTGGGGAGAAGTGGACAACACAAGGCATTGGAGGATTGAAGGCCAGTGGACTGACTGCAGCTCGGGCCGGTTCTCAGAGCTGGAAAGGCTTTGAGTTTGAATGATGCTTTGGTAGCTGAATCCAATTAAATGTTCTCAGCTGCCATCCTTCCTGAGCCCTTCATCTCTGACATCTTTCTCCCCAAAATACTATCTCCCCTGGAGTTTCACAACACTGCTCTTAAAATTGTTGAACAAAGACACTGAGAAAGAGAATAAAGAAAACCTTTCTTGGGAGAGAGCTGGGTTAACTGTTATTTTATGAAGAAACAGTAGCCAAAGTCTTTCCCAAGGTATGAGTCAGCAGAGATTGTGAGTGGTGATGGTTTGACAAGTTAAAGTTTTCCCATGGGGTTGGAGAAAACCTGGAGAAGCCAGCGAGAAGAGGCTGGAGAGGCCTTCCTCGATGGAACTGCTTTAACCTTAATCTGATCTTGTGAAAGGGTTAAAGAAGAGAATTCTTGAGAAGAAACTTTGATTGGTATCTTGAGTGAACTAGGTAGTGGAACTGTATTTTCAGAAAATGTCAGTAGCTGTCACAAAGATGGTCTAAGGTGCCTCTTACTCCAATGGGTCCAAGAGCTAAACTACCGTGAAGAATTGTTTATACTTCTGTTGGTGCTAATAAACTGCCATCACCAGTAATCAATCGATAGCAATATTGATCTAATCTTAGGGGATTAGGGGTTTTGCCATAGAGAGAGATTTGAGCAAGTGTTTATGGGGAAAGAGGATTTTCTATTAAGTCAAGCAGCAGGCTGAGGCATGTGAGGTGGGCACTGCTATATAACCTTACACACATGTCCTGCATCTCCTTCCTGCCCTCAAGAACTTAGGCTCCCTCCTTTCTCCCAGGGAGTCACTCATTCGTCCTACCCCTTTTCTCTGCCAGACAACTGGAGATTTGGGGAGCGATAAAGCAAGTATTCCGTATAGACAAGGTATGTTAGGGTTATTTGGCATCCCATGTGACTTCAGTCTAGCACCAGGGGAATTAATCGCCAGGACTGCCACCTGCTGCCTCTTTCCCCTAAAGGGAACCAAGATCCACCAGAGGTCCTGAGCCCAGCATTAGATTGAAGCCCAAGATTTACTGTTGATATCTTAATTGACATTTTCTCGGTCATGCATCTTCTTGACCTCTCTTCACTTTTTGACACTCGGTCTGTTTGTGGGACAGCAAGATGGTGCAGCGGATCAGGAAGACATCTTCCCGAGTTCAAATCCGGCCTCAGACACTTACTAGCCGTATGACCCTGGACAAGTCTCACAGGCCTGTTGGCCTCAGTTACTTATCTGTAAAATGAGCTGGAAAAGGCAAAGGCAAAGGCAGACTACTCCAGTATCTTTGCCAAGAAAACCACAGAGAGTCAGACACAATTGAAGTTTCTAAACAACAACAACAAACATGTTGAATTGTCTCTTCCCTTACTGTTCTCCTGGTTCTCTTCCCATGTCTCCAGCCAATCCTGTTTGAGGTGGTTGTCATCTGTCCCCTGCCATCTCAGTGTGAGCATGCCTTCGTCCCTGTCCCAAGAGCCTCAGTAGTCACCTTTATCACTTCTCTCAGGATGTAGTTCTTCTGAGACAATTGACCTGAAATTATCTTTTTAAAATTTTGACTTTTTTTTTTAAAGGCAATTGGGGTTAAGTGACTTTCCCAGGGTCACACAGCTAGTAAGTGTCAAGTGTTTGATCTGAGGTCGGATTTGAACTCAGGTCCTCCTGACTGCAGGGCCGGTGCTCTATCCACTGCGGACCTGAAATTATCTGTGGCAGCAACAATGTCCTCTCTGATTATCTCTTGCCTTACTTATCTTGGATGTCTCCCTCCCTTCCCCTAATAGGGATATTTGTCTTGTTTCTAGTTCAAAGATTGTTCTCTTTGGCAGATAAAATAGAAACAGAACGGGGGATGAACAGTCCTGCCTAACACTTTGTTCCCTGGGCACCCATAGCAGCTGCCCTCTCTACTCCTTAAACCCTTTGGTCTCAACAAGGCTTAAAAACCCAACCAACCCTTTGTTGTCTTTTGCTTCCCTTAACAGCCCCAGCCAGCCTAAGCTTCAGCATTCCCATCACTATTCCTAAAGGATTTCTGCACCCTTTCACATTTAACTGGCTTGTTACCTGTCTTTGCTCTCATTTTCTCTATGTGTTGTTCCGTCCTCTAGAAATCCACTTCACCAAAACGGTTTCTCTTTGTGCCTAACCTTCCGTCCCTTCCGGACTTTTCCCCCAAAGAGACATGACTGAACAACATGCAGCTAAACCGACTTACTCGCTGTTTGCAATACACAACATTCCATTTCTCACCTCTGGGGCTTTCCGTAAGTCAATCAGCAGATATTTGTAAGATACCTTTTATGTTCCAGGCAATATGCTAAGAGCTGGAGATACAAAGAAAAGCAAAACCAGTCCCTTCCCCTCAAGGAGAGACAAATGTAAATGTCACCTACATACATACATGCGATATATACATATATCTCATATACAAATAGGATACAGACTGAGTTGATGGAAGATAGCTTTAGTAAGGAAGACTCAAGGAGCCGGAGCTGGGGGAGGGACCAGGAATGACCTCCTGCAGAAGGAAGCTTTCGGCAGAGTCTGCAGCGTGCCTGGCCTGGGGGATGGCCCAGGGGCATGTGGTGCTCTGGACTCTGCAGGAAGACTGGGGAGGGGGAAGAATAGAGTCTAGGAACGCTGGGAAAGTAGGAAGGAGCCACGTTGTGCGGTGCTCTCCTCTCTTGTGCTTAGGTCAAGGGCCACTTTGCACAAGAGCTGGTAGGCCTCTCCACCACCTGCCCAGAAATTCCCATTTGTACTCACAAAATATACGTCTGTGTACACATTGTTTACCCCACAGAAGCAAAACTCCTTGAAGGTGGGAATTGTCATGGTTTTATTTTTGTCTCCCCAGTGCTAAGCACAAATGAATTTTTCCTGTTTTTTGAGAACCACTCTGTTGCTTCTGCTTTCCTGGACTGTGAAGGGGTATTACCCAAGATTGTTTTTCTACTTTTCCAGGAAAGAGAACAGCCTGCCCTTTACCTGCACATAACAGTCATTGCAAAATTGTCTCTGATTAAAACTAGAATCTGAGGGGTGCCATAGATGGCCTCTTAGGCAAGTCTGGCATGGCTGAATAAATAGTGGCATAGGAACATGAAGTAGCACTGTTGTGTCCTAAGAAGTGATTCCAGGGAATGCTGGGTAATATAGACTGATAGAGAGCAAACAGGTTACCCAAGGACAGCCACGCTGCAAAGAAACAGACAAGTGCTGATAAGAGCAAGGCCCAACTCTGCCCATGAATGACCTGGCACCTACCTCTGGACAGAGAAGAGGCAGAAACCGACCCTTGGGGACATAATCCACTGTGAGGATTCTTCTTGCTTGACTGTGCTTAGTAATTATCAAATTTCATTTTCCTGCTTTCAGTTAATTAAGGAAAATTGGGAGGGTGGGGTGGGAATAGCGATAAGGAAGAAAAAAGAGGGGGGCCAATGCAGTACTTAAAAAAAGCACAAAGAAGAGAACAGAAGGATATTCGGAAGGAAGCACAGACAAGGAGGACGGCTTTGAAAGTAATGGATAAAATTGATTATATCCTTAAAATGGAGATTCATAGTTTCACGTCGAATTCTGCTTGTGTTTAGCTGTGTCTATGGAAATACCCTTTTTGGGTGTTAAGAAAAAATTCCAACAGACTCACTTTGCTCTGTAGCCATTACAAGTGAGACCTTCAGTTCTCGTTTTCCTTCTCTTTAGCTCCCCCACAGAATAGATCAAGGCACGCTCCAGAGTTGTCACCCTTCTTTTTATCTTTTTAGTACTCTGTAAAACCTAGATAAACACATTCCACTTTTCCCCCTTTTCTCAGGAATCTATAATCCCATTTACTTCTTCATCTCAAATCTTGCTTAGGCTCTTTAGTTTGCCCTTTCCTTTGCTCTCTTTTCCTGTGATTCTTTAGCTCAAGCCTTTGACCTCCTTAAACGTGAAGCCTTCAGCTTCTCAAAGTCTCCCAAATTTACTTTATCCCCCTTCCAGCCGGTCGATAAACATAGCACCTACTCTGTATCAGGCTAGGGTTACAAAGAGTGGCAGAAATCTGAGGATGGGGGTGGGGGGACCACAAAGGTAATGTGCAAATGATGTATAAACGGGCTATCTAAAGGATAAATTGGAGTTAATCAACAGAAAAGGTGCTAGGATGAAAGGAGAGCCCGAGGATTCCTGCAGAAGATGGGATTTTAGCTGGGTCTTGGAGGAATCCAGGGAAGCTGGGAGGCAGAGATGAGGAAGGAGAGGCTTCTGGCCATGGAGGGACCAGGAGTGAAAATGCCTGCAATCAGGTGATGTAAGGAGGTCAGTGTTACTGGACTGCAGTGTGATGTATGAAGATGGAGATGGGGTCCCAGGATATAAAGGCCTTTGAATACCACACTCAGGATTTTGTGTGTGTTTTGATACTGGAAGTGATAGGGAGCCATTGAAATGGATTCAGTGGTGTGTGTGTGTGCTTTAGGAAGATCATTTTCAAAATTCCAGCGCCCTTCAGTCACCTTCAAAATTCCCTTTTCTTTTTCACGCTAAATGCTTCTCTCGACCTTCTGAAACTGGACACTCCGCTAGTTAGCGGGTTCCCAGTCTAGTGGTCATTTCTGACTCATCTGCGTACAGTCAGACCATTAGCATTTTAAAGCAAAGATAAAAATTAACAGCAGGGGAGGAGAAGAAGAAAAGACATGGTATGGAGCTGCACCTATTTAAATAGGCTGGATTGAAATTGATTCCAAAGTTG